TGTATATATATACAGTATATATATCTGCCTAAAGACTTGCTGATACAAAGAACTGCCTATTTGTACAAAGCTCCTCCCTGGAGCTCAGTCTGCAGCAGAGTCCGAAGCCCACAGAACACCCCTCCCCTAAAACATTTTTTTAAATTTGCTGGAGTCGGAGTGTCAGAAATGGTAGGAGGTTCTTTAAGAGACAGAGGCCTATTTCAAGGCATTTAGATAGGCTATCATGCAAAATCAAATTTACTTTTGATATTTATAGCATTTTCATTACAACTGAAGATAAGTTACTTGATTGTGGCACAGAATTACAATACCTCCACTTTAAGGATTTATCTGAGACAACTTCAAGCTGCTTTACCTTTTAAAATGTCCTTTAACTTGGGTCTAACTTATTTAAACGTTGATACAGGCACGGTACACTTAATTTATTTCAAGACATAAAGGGTTTACTTTTATAGAAAAACTTCTAAATATGTTATTTTAAAGCACAGAGATGAGCTTTTAAGGGTTGAAAATGCCTGAGGGAGTTTCAAGGATCACYGCATATAAACTAGAACAATTAGAAAAGATGAAGACATTTAGAAAATGTCACCTGTAATGGGCGTTGCAGTATTTCTTGGCGTAGTCTGTCCAGGTCCCAAACCTTTTGGGATAGAGGGCATCAATCTGCATGAAAAGCTGTGAAAAACACAGGCGGTAGTAAATTTTGATAATAACTTCACACCGAAATAAAAGGTAATGTGAGAGTGTATGAGCAAATAGGACAGACAGATTTGTTAAAAAAAAGTCTGTATGTAACTAATTAATTGTCTTTATAAAACTAACATCCCTTTTATCTGAAACTTTTCAACTATTTATTTAATGTACAAATACCCACCTTTTAAAGAAACAATGAAAACCACATTAAGACATTACAGTATAAAACAAAAACAAAAAAGTTCAACAAAATCATCATTTGTTGCTTAGTCCCAGTTATTATTAAGTAATTATTAGCGGGTAAAAATATACTGAATGATATATACTGTTCAACAT